ATAGAGTTTCTGGAGGCTTGTTATTTAGGAAGTGGATAAATACTGTCACAAAAAGCTAGAAAAAGGTTTACATACAGAATCACTCTAATATGCTTATCAGAGAGGGGAAGGGACAGAGTGGAAAATGAAGTGATAGACAGCAGATACTAGAATGGACTAAGGAAGGACAATGTGGAATGAGTGGACAGTCAGACATTGTGCATAGTTTAATGTTATGGAAAAATATGTTTGAATGAATGATTGAAAAAATAAATCAACATACCTAATAAACTTTAACTCAAATCACAATGAAAAAACATTAGAAAGGAACATTAAAGGTGGTGGTGGTTTTTTTTTTTTTTTGGTTTGTTTTTTTAACTTTTTCAGCAAATTGGCTAGTTGATGTCAGGACACATATTGAAGGTGAATTATGTTATTTATTATTATCAGTTCTGTTGCCGATTATACTTGCTAACAAATAAATGAGCTAACTAAAACAAAGGTTGCTGGTTAGATTGTCTCTTGTTTATTATACCCACTTGGTATATTTTTATAATGCAATGTTTGCCCACCTTTGTCCTGACAACGCTTGTGCACAGGAATAGTATACAGATCTACATAACATGCTGAGAGAAATGACCCAGGCCTTAGCTGACTGGGAACTGAGGGAGTCATTATTCAAGCCTGCTTGTACCCTCTTTAAGGTATACCCATGTGCTCTGTGAACAGCCCAGGAAGCAGCTATATCATCATCTAGTCCTCTTCTCTTGGCAAGGGAGCTCTGGTGGCCTGTTGGATAGTGAGTGTACTACCAACCCAAAGTCACTCGGTTCAGATCCACCAGCTGCTCCGTGGGAAAGAGATAGGCAATCCCATGAGATATATCACCTCTGAAAACCTGCTGGAGGGTCAGGTGGGAGTCGGTTTTGATTCAACAGCACATAGCAACAACAACAACAAAACAGCTGTCTTAGTAAAGAGCGCTCATGACAGAGTCGATAAGGTATTACAGTGCTAGCAAAAGGCCTCATGTCTCCAGCAGTTCAAATCCACTAGCAAATTCCTCAGGAGACTAGCAACCTCTTTCCATTAAGATTTACAGCCTTGGGAACACATGATGGGCTGCTGTGAGTTCATTTAGACTCTAAGGCAATGAGTTTGTAGTTTTTGAGTTTGTCGTCTTGATTGCCTAGTGCTACTGTAGTTGAAACACCACAAGTTTTAGCAAGCAAAAAATTTTTTTCTCTTTCATAGTTTAGAAGTCCAATTGCAGAATGTCAGCTTCCAGGGAAAAGCTTTTCTTCTGCATTCAGTGTTGGAGAAGGTTCTCATTGTCAAACTTCTCCAGTGTCTAGAAGTTCCTTAATACAGATTCCAAAGAACTGTCTTGCCTGCCGGCTCTTTTTCTTGGTAGGAGGCGGGTCTGTGCTTTGTGTGATTGACTCTCATTGGCACCGAGTCAGAACCGAATCATAGCTGACAGAGTTCCAAAGCTGTAAATCTCATGGGATTTTACATTTCTTTTTCTTTCAAGAAGCAACTAGTCGATTTGAACCACCAAAGAAGTGACACTTTTGGGTTAGCATACCAACACCCTGTAGTTAACTTCGTCACGTTTAGAATTCATAATGTAAAGGATAATGGTATCAGACCACAACATTGAGCATGTCTACACAATACTGAGAATCACAGCTTAGCCAAGTTGACACATATTTTGGGGGACATTAATCAGTCCCTCACACCTATGTTCTTCTAGTAACCAGTGGTGTTCTCTATTTCATAGTCTGTAAAAAGAGCACTGATACTGTTCAGCTATTGAAGTTTGAAAATCACTAGGAGATCCAGAACTTCAGTTCTCACACTTGTGCCAGGAAAGTGTTCAGTCACTCTTTGTACTTCTTGACCTTTTTAGTTGAACAGATCCCTGGCTTGACGATGCCTTCCAGTTAAGTGGCTTTGAAGCATCGCTATTAAGTCTTGCAGTGGGGTTATTTTTAGAAAAATACCTGCTAGGTAAGATTCTCTAAGTGACCTAAGGGGCTAAGAATTGGCACTTCCAACCCAGAGACAGGTAGTTCAGATCTACCACCGGCTCTGTGGGAGAAAGATGGACTTTCTCCTTCATACAACTCACAACCCTTGAAACCTCCCTGGAGGGTCAGTCGGCTATGAGTTGGTTTCAACTTAAGGGCAAATAACAACAACCTAATAGGTAGAGCTTGTAGAAGAAGTAGAAAGAAGAGAGTAAACTCTACACAGTCTTTGCTAAATGGACAGCTCGAGTCTCCCTTCTTTAACTTCCTTTTTAGCTAGCAGCCAGGAACTTAAGACATCACACACTAGGTCTCCTTCCAGCCACATGACTTCCGGTGAGCTCAGGGTTCAGGGGACTTGAGGCTGTGAGGTCTTCCAACATTTCTGAAAGCTCCAGGCTTTGGCTGAGTTGGCTCCCTTCTGAATGTCAGGGACTGAAGCTGTCAGGTGACCCTGCTTTTCTCTGGGTCACGCTTTCCAGACTTAGTCTCTGAACAGACATACTAAGGTATGTAAGCCTGAAAGCACTGTTAAATGCAGCTATAGACCTTTCTTTGCATTTATGCAGCCCTGGAGGTACCTCATGTGCCAAATGAAAGATCGAGGTTCAAATCCAGTAGTTTCTATGAAGGAAAAGGTAGGCAGTCCTTCCCAGAAATATCTAGAGAGACCTGATAGAGTCACAGTCAATACTGGGTTTGGTTTTTCAGGGGTTTATTTACATTTAAATAAAGTACTCTTCCTCCACTCTTAGTCTGGGTGTTTTTTTTCTTATTTAAATAAAGTACTGAATCTTGCAACTGACAAGACTTCATTGGAGTCTCAGTGGCCTAGCTGCTGTGTGTCTGCAGGAGAAAACTGAGGTCCTGTTCTCAAGACTGAGCTTTGTGTGAGGGTTGCTGTGAGTCACAGCTGACTCAGTGACTTGGGTGAGTGGGGAGACCTGAGTTCCAGCACTGTCCTCTCCAGCTGAACAGGCAAGTTCAGTTTATCTGAATCCTCTCTACGTGGTAGGAGCACTGGTGGCTTGGAGGTAAGGAGCTGCACTGCCGACCCAAAGGCCTTCCACCGCCTGCTTCACAGGAGAAGGATTGGTAGTTTCCTCTCGTGAGATTTACTGCCTCTGAAAACCTGCTCGCGGGTCAGCTAGGAGTCACTTACAACCCAACAAATGATCCCTTTCTTTCACTCCTGGCCTTCCAGCCCGCCTCCTCTTGGGAATCCTCTATGTAGAGAATTGTATCCACAGGACTGTCAATGGCTGTGACCTTAGAAAGGTGATCACCTTGCTGGGTTGATTCCAGCCCTCAGCCTTTGGTTGGTTTTTGTTGTTAGGGGCCATGGAGTCACTACGACTCTAGGGACCTTCTGAACAACAGATTGAACCTCAGTCTATCTTGCACCATCCTCTTGCTCTTCAGATAAGCACAGTTCCCTTGTTACAGTCACTGCACACCCAAAATGTGTGACGATTCTCCATCCTTGGACCTTTCACCTCGAAGGGGCGCTCTGCTTGCACTTTCTTGTGGTCTGACCTGTTTAGTCCGTTGACAGGTGCATGGGATACTCAGTGCTTGACTCCAGCATCAGAACTCAAAGGCAGCAATTTTTTTCCGTCGTCCTTTTTCACTGTGCAACTGTTCAGATGCATAGGAAGTAACTGGAAAGACCATTTAGTGGTTAGAGTGACAAACACAGAGACTTTGGAGCTACTGGGGGTGATGTGACACCTGCTCCATTTTCCTGTAAAGCTGATCAAGGGAGAGTTATGTGTGAAAATACTGTCTAAGCTCTAGAAGTAAAAAGAAATGCAATGTTTTGTATTTTAAAAAAATCTAGTTTCCATACAACAATGACGTTTACTGTACTTGAGTATGAGGCAATTCTCTGTAATTCTCCAGCTTTTATATATATATTTAGATGAAATCAAAGCTGTATTTATTAGAAAAGATACATCCCATAAAGCAAGACAGCTTAGCCTCTGGAAGTGAAGAGGTGGAGGAAAGACTGCCAGCTTGTCTTTTTTTAAAATTTATTAATTTTAATGAAAGTTTACAGAAACTTAGGGTTTCCTGTCATTCATTGTTGCCCTTTTCTCCCTGCCCACCCCCTGACCCCAAATTACTCTTCTTGAAAAAAAAAAAAAACCAAACAAACTCTTTCATTGTTATGCAATCCTTCCTCCGCCAAGTCCACTCCACTGTGCAGCCTTCATTCTGGACTTCTGTGATGACAAGAATACCCATTCCTATGTCCCTTTTAAACAGTTCGCTCCCTCATCTGTCTCAATGCAGTATACATCATTCCTCCCCTCCTTTTCTGTCTTCTTGCAACCCTGATGTCAGTCCCATTTTACAACAGTGGCACTATGCAATATTTGTCCTTTTGAGACTGAGATATTTCACTCAGCATACTGTCCTCCAGTATCACCCATTTTGAATAACATTGCATAAGTTTCTTGTTTTTCAATGCAGCATAGTATTCCATTGTGTGAATGTATTAGAGCTTGTCTATCCATTCATTTGTTGATGGGCACCTGGGTTGTTTTCTGCTCTTTGCTATTGCGAACAAAGCCACAATTAGCATGGGTGTGCATACAGCTTGTCTTTGTGTGTGTGTGTGTGTGTGAGAGAGAGAGAGAGAGAGAGAGAGAGAGAGAGAGAGAGAGAGAGAGAGAGAGTGAGTGTACCGTCAAATCAGATCTGACTGGTACAGGAGGAGATTGTCCCTCCTTTTCCTGGCAGAGCATCTGGTGGATTTGAACCATGTGCCTCTGGGATGGTAGTTGCAGCTCCTTGCCACTAGGCCACCAGAGCTCCCCACAGCTTGTCTTTTAAAGACTTCTTTTTATGAAATAGAAAAGGCCATTGCTAGGTGGGCTCCAAGTCCAGTGTCAGTAGCTTCCGGGAATTTCAGTAGTCAGAGCTGACTGAGCGATGACCGTACTGACGTGTGCCCTCCCTGTTTATTCCTCCTCCGTCCTGCAGAGCCACCTGATCCACTCTCTGGGCCTGACACATCACCTGCTTGCCCTGAACTTTATCATCGTGTCCTTCGGCAAGAAAAGCGCCTGGTCATCTCCTCGGGTGAAGGTGACTGACACTGACTTCGATGGTGTGGAGGTCCGGGTGTTTGAAGGCGCTGCAAAGCCAGGCGAGCCGCTGAGACGCAGTGTCCTCTACATGCACGGAGGTGGCTGGGCCTTGGCAAGTGCAAGTACGTGCTGGTCACCTTCAGAGCGGTTGGGAAGGCAGTGGGCCCGCAGGGCTCTGGGACTGCATTTGGCTTTAATCTTGAACAAGGAGAGGGTCACCATTTGATTTGGTGACCCTAGACAGTTCCAGTTACCCTGATGTCCTAGCAGAATTGCCAGAAGTACCTGTTACTTCCATACGTGTCTCTCTTCAAGATGCGAGAGGCCCTCCTAAGGTCCAGCTGGAACCGAGATTCAGCCCTCAGCCTGGAGGCGTAGCCAAACATTTCAGTATTTTACAATTCCGGCACGCACTCATGCTGGTGGACTCTGGGCCAGAGACCCCCAATTCATCTGGCAAGTCCCCTCTGCTGACACCCACTTGGGATGAAAAGAAAGCCCTAGGAGCCCCGAGTGTTCCATATGTGTCCCTTCTCAGGACTCGCAAGGCCATCCTAAGGTCAGTTGCTGGACAGAGGTAACTCGCGGTTGCTGTGAAGCTGAACCCTGTGACACTGATGTGTCAAATGTGATAATGGTTCTCCATGGTGGTTGGACATCCTTGGTGGAGCTCTCCAATTAAAACAAGCTTCGAAGCAGGAGTGGCATCCACTTCCAAAATAGCTTCCCTTTTTAAAATGCTGCTGTGCTGATCATTCCCTTATTGGATACTGCCTTTCTTTTCACTTATCTTAATATGTGCCTCTTATCTATTTAGGGACCCCTGGTGGCCTAGTGGTAAGAAGCTGCCCTGAAATCCCAAAGGCACATAGTTCAAATCCATCAACTCTGCCACAGGATTAACAGTTGACAGCCTCCTCCTGTGTAGCTGCCCTGAAAACCCACTGCAGGGTCAGCTGTGGGTCGGTTCTGACTCTATGGTACACAACAATAACAACAACATTCTCTAGATGTATCCATGCTCTGAAGTGTCTCAACAAGACAGGTTAACACAGTGACTGAAATAATAGACTCCAGTGTGTTGGAGCAGATGAGGACGGCACAGGATAGGACACGGTTCAAACCATTTGTCCATAGGGTCATAATGAGTCGCAGTCAGCTCAGCAGCACATAACAAGAACAACAACAACTGTGAATTCTTCATTGTTCTTTCAGAGCTGCATGGTTTTTATAGTTTCCTTACCCGTTGGTCCAGTGGTGAACACGTGGGTTATTTTCATCTCTCTGCTGTCATGAATAATACTTCAGGGATCACAGGTTTGCAGATACCAGTTTGTGTGGCAGCCAACGTCAGTTTCTTTGGGTTCTAAACTTAACAGTGAGATTGTTGGATGAAGTTGTATTTCTGTTCTCAGTTTTCCAAGGAAGCAATAAACTGCTTTCCATAGTGGTTGCAACATTTTACAATCCCCCAACTCTTGTGTGAGAGTTCCAGTCTCTGTATCCTCCCAGCATTCGTTATTTGCTGTTACATTGAATTTTGCTGTTGTTGCTAGAGTGGAAAAAGGTGGTATATACAATGTTATTAAAAAAGCCTCCAACATGGTGTTAAGGTTTTAAGAGTATCCATTTTAGCACTGTCTCCTCTTCATGAGCAGAACACATTGAACTTGGCAGGAAGCCAGGTGGAATAGGTTGGAGGAAACCAGCTTGCAAAGAGGAAGTCAGAGTTTTAGTTTTGCTTCTTTCTGTCATAAAGCTACTTCCTCATTGTCAACACAGAGCATCTGGCAGTCCCTAAACTCAGAACAGGAGCTCCAATTGGAGTTAATTATGCATCGTGCTGCTAACCCAAAGGTCACAGGTTGGACTCTTACCAGCTGCTCTGCACGAGAAAGATGGTCAATCTCCTCCCATAAAGATTTATCACTTTTCTGGGAGGTTGGGGTGATGGTCACCCTGAATCAGAATCAAGTGCTCTAATGACATGTTACATGCTGCGCCGGGAACCAGAAGGCAGCAGTCCGTATCCACTGACTTCTCTGCAGGAACAAGATGGGCAATTTCACCCTGTAATGATTTACAGACTTGGAAGTTTACTGGAGGGTGACTGTGATTCAGAACCAGCATAATAACCATGGACATTGCTGGGTGTGTGAAAGTTTAAAACAAGTTGGAAGACTTGTTATTCTGGGTACTTTTAATACAGCAAAGGTCAAAAAGTATAACCTTTTCTAACAATCTCATTTCATTTAGCTCCGTATTCACCATATACACATATCATTTCTTCTTTCATGCACCGATTTGTTGACGCTGTCCAGAGTTGCTCACTGAGCGATTCAGGCTTGTCCAGGGTGGAGGGATGTACGGGGGTGGTGCATTTTTTTGTGCAAATGTTTAGACAGTTCTGGGCAAACCTGGGTGTTGGTCTCCTTAATATTAAAGGGTAGGCGTACAAAAGGGAATAAGACAGAGTCTCTGCTTGAGGAAGAAATTGAGTCTGTGGCAACAGACTCTTGCTGAATAGGACACTACACTGATGGACGTGAAGAAATAGGATACTCATAAGACGTAACCTAACTTTGTCTACACTTAAAAAAATTATTGTGGTTTGGGTGAAGGTTTTATAGAGCAACACTGGTTTCCCGTCCGACATTTTTATACTCTGTTCCATGACATTGGCTGAAATGTGTGATCACATGCTTCCCATGGCATCTCCATGGAATCCCGGTCTTTCTCATTGCCATTGTCCTTTCTTGCACCTTCCTGCTGTATGAGCTTTGGTTTTGGGCAGATGATGTCCTTTAGGTCTCATGTGACTGATGTTCTGAGGAGTCATTCCTCCCTCGTTTTGTTATTATTTTATTACTGGCTTCCCTGTTGTTCAGCTTTTAGAAGTTAATCCTTGAGGGTGGATTCAGTTCCAGAATTTTAGGATATCTGAGGACCGTAGTCCCGGGGATCTACCAATCGGTAGTAGACCTGTAAGTCTGGTCATTTTATAATTGTTGAGTTTGTTCTAGAATTTCTCCCTTTCTGTCCAGGATTTTCTGTAGTCCTGATTGGAGAGGGCAGCAGTCTTTGCTGGGCACCATCTAGCTCTTCTGGTCTCAGATGAGTGGACTCTCTGGTTTATTAGTTCTACGGACTGTTTGTGCCTTTGCTTTTCTACATTCTTTGCTTCTCTGCTAAGGGAGAGACTAGTAGTTGCATCTTAGATGTCTTTTAAAACCTTAATCCCTCCTCCCTGAAGTTAGATATAGAACATTGTCTTTGTGGTATGCCAATTAGCCTAAATGACCCTTAAGACTGTGGTCCTAAGCCCAGTGCCTGAATCTGTCAAGGTGTTAGTTATGACTAAGAAGTTTTCATAACTCTCTGTATGCTATATTATGCTATGCTCAGCATTTCTTAAGCTCAAGGAACTGAAGAACAAATTCAAACCTAGAGTTGCTATAATCAAGGATGCTTTAGGCAGAATATTAAATGATCCAGG